TTCATTTAGAGTCTTGTAGCGGTATCTCCACTCAGAGCTTTGACCCTTTTTTTGGGGAAAAAAATATCAATGAAAGTCTTCTTTGGGTCCTTCTAACCAATAAAATTTTTTAACAGAAAATTTTCATCAATTTTTTTATTAGTTGTCACTGCAATATTTTGTACAATAATCTTGCTTTAAGTGGCGTACTCAAGATTTCCACACGCATTTTGAAACCATTTACAACTAATTTATCTCCTAATAACACAAAGCTTTAAAAAGCTAGGTGTGTATTTATGAGTAGTATAACAAATTTCTCAAGTCCCTTGGCCCCTATGTATGCTTGAAAATGATGAGCTGGTGAGGAAATTGCTCTATAAAAGTAAGTTCATTTCTTGATTCTTCAACAGATTGATCTCGAGATGATGACGATGGAATAATCTTAATACTTGGCATGCTTGTCTAATTATAAAAGAATGGTTCTGAAGGAACTGGGATGGTACAGGAGGAGCTACTTAGCAACATAACAATGGAAGCCATTGATGGCCTCTGAGCTGCTTTTTCTTGAAGACACAGTAAACATATTTGGATGCATCTCATCATTACACTTCTTGAAGAGCCTTCTTCTTCAATCAATAATGTTGGATCTGCAATATTTGACAATATTCCTTTACTCCAACTTTTCCAAGCCTGTAAGAATACTTTGTTTAGTTGCAGAACCGAAAAACAATGAAGAATGATTTTTCAAAGCTGATTCAAGTACTGATAGAGGGAAATACTTACAGCAGTTCCTATATGCTCTATGTTCTCGCCATTGTGGAATTCACCATTCTTTTGACCACTTATAATTTCTAAAACCAATACTCTGAAACTAAAAACATCTGACTTCGTTGAAAAGATTCCATGTTTTACATATTCTGGTGCCATGTATCCACTACATATGCATATCAAAAGATGATTAGCATTTAAGCTTAATTAATCTAATAATAGCTCTAGCAATAGTATATAATCTTATAAACTTACAAAGTCCCAACAATATGTACTTGTGTTGCTTTGAGTTTGATCGAGTGCAAACAACCTTGCCATACCAAAATCTGAGATCTAAGCATTCATGTCTTCATCTAAAAGTATATGGGAAAATTACTGTAGAGTCCCACAGAAGAGAATTTACTACTGAAAGGTCCCATGAAATCATAAAATGTATATGAGGTCCCAAGGGACTTTATGGCAAAAAATTTCAAACGTGCAATTACTTTCTTGCCCTTCTGATTAAAGAAAGAAACTGAAGCACACGATTGAGAGAAAAACTCCTATCGGTTGTCATCTTCATGAAATCCGCCGCCGTCTCATTCGTGTCCATCCTTGTGTGCTCCGACAGCTTCAATCTCCGGCGAGGTCTGTCAGTGTCTGCTCGGTACATTGTCGCTCGCTGCTCCGCACTCCGTCGGTCTCTGGTCCGCACTCAGTTGGTCTCTAGTTGGACGCCTCCAATCTCGTGCACGGTCCGTCGGTCGCTGGTTCGCACCCCACTACCAGCGAGCCTCGTGGGTTCCATCATCGATGACCTTCGCACCCCACCGCCGGCGAGCCTCTCTCTCTTGGTATATCATATTGATATTATCTATTACTGGTATATTTAAGTGAGGCGCTTCTCAGTTTCAGAGCAACAGTTGGCTATTGTGTAAGTTGTATTATTTAAATTTCGAAGTACTGTTGGCTATTGTCAATTGTTGTGCATAAGTTGTTATTACAGTGATCGAAGGTTGTCATTAACGACCCCATGACCTGTCCTGTTATGTAGGATGGAAGATTTCTGTAAGTTGTATTATTTAAATTTTGAAGTAATGTTAGTTATTGTCAATTGTTGTGCATAAGTTGCAATTACCTAAGTGGAGCGATTCCAAATGAACTAGGAAACCTATCACAGCTCAGAAGTTCGTGAGTACAGTATTTTAATGTAGTTTCTGGTTCATTTCATCCAATTTATGTTGTTATAAGGATGGACAAATCTCATTCATTCATCATATTCCTGTATTTTCTAGGGTTATATCAAGTAACTCCCTCAGTGGGAATATACTATTCTTTATATGTTGTAATTGGTTGCTCTATATGTTGTCATTTACTATCCTGTATGTTGTCATTTACTACTCTATGTTGTCATTCACTAGTATGTACGCTGTCAACTGCTTATTTGTATGTTGTGATTGGTTGGTGTGAAGGTTGTTATTGTCTTGTGTGCAAGTTGTCATTAGCCTCTGTTAGTTTGTCGCTTGCTTATGTATAGGTTGTAATTTCCTGTTGTTCTTGTCATTCGGTTTAGCGTGGATTGTCATTGGCTGCTGTGTATGTTGTGAATGACACAAATGTAGGTTGTGATTGTCTGATGTGTAGGTTGTGACTGTATGCTGTGCATGTTGGATGCTTGTAATCCCCTCAAGAAATCCATGACTTGAAGGTTGGATGCTTGTGGTGGCTTGTAACTTATCAGAACAACCTGCATGGTGATCAAATGCTATCTTTGCTACGAGGAAACTCCCAAAGCAAGAAGAAGAAATAAACGATGAGCATAGATTGTATTTAGTTTTTTTTATTTGACAGCTGAATGTAAAGTTCAGATTTTGTTTCTTTATTTGACCATGTAGTGATAGCTAGATGTTAAGATATGTTAATGTGTATTGACATCATTTACTGATTATGAAGTTTTTGTAATGACATTCATGTGTTTTGACAAAACAAGAAATTCTTCGTTCCATACACGGATCATGTCCACAAATGCAGACTAAATAAAACTGGATAAACAAATGGTAACCATGATGACATGATAGGCATATATCACAATCATCTCTGCCACATCCATTTACAACCTCAACGGGGGTTGTTGACAACCCGAAGACAAGTGGTTAACAACCTGGGCAGTGTCCCTGACAAATCACTCTGTGGGATGCCACAGCTTCTAAATAGATTGTATTATCAGCATATATAACGACCTTAAAAAAAATTAAGAGCATTTTAAAGTTATTAACAGCTTTAATTGAACCCAATAGGATTACAGTAGATTTTTACTACAGCAATTCATTTACAACCTCAACAGTGGGTGTTGACAACCCGAAGAGAAGTGGCTAACAACCTTCGCAATGGGCCAAACAAATTTGTATGAAAACTTATCAGCAATGCTGTACCTATATAGTGCTTATCTAAGGGCTACTGCATTAGGAAAAATTTATCCTTCTCCAATAACCAGACCCTTTCACTTTGTTGAATTCCTTTCTGAAATTGGGGTTGACATCATTTCTGAACCACATGGCAATGATAGTGGGTCTTCACTAAACACATTGGGTGGAGACATGGACAATGCATCTGAACCTTCGAACAAGTCTTCCATCCTACATAACAGGACAGGTCATGGGGTCGTTAATGACAACCTTCGATCATTGTAATAACAACTTATGCACAACAATTGACAATAGCCAACATTACGTCGAAATTTAAATTATACAACTTACACAAGTCTTCCATCCTACATAACAGGACAGGTCATGGGGTCGTTAATGACAACCTTCGATCACTGTAATAACAACTTATGCACAACAATTGACAATAGCCAACATTACTTCGAAATTTAAATAATACAACTTACACAAGTCTTCCATCCTACATAACAGGACAGGTCATGGGGTCGTTAATGACAACCTTCGATCACTGTAATAACAATTTATGCACAACAATTGACAATAGCCAACATTACTTTGAAATTTAAATAATACAACTTACACAATAGCCAACTGTTGCTCTGAAACTGAGAAGCGCCTCACCTAAATATACCAGTAATAGATAATATCAATATGATATACCAAGAGAGAGAGGCTCGCCGGCGGTGGGGTGCGAAGGTCATCGATGATGGAACCCACGAGGCTCGCTGGTAGTGGGGTACAAACCAGCGACCGACAGACTGTGCACGAGATTGGAGGCGTCCAACTAGAGACCGACTGAGTGCGGACCAGAGACCGACGGAGTGCGGAGCAGCGAGCGACAATGTACCGAGCAGACACTGACAAACCTCGCCGGAGATTGAAGCTGTCGGAGCACACAAGGATGGACACGAACGAGACGGCAGCGGATTTCATGAAGATGACAACCGATAGGAGTTTTTCTCTCAATCGTGTGCTTCAGTTTCTTTCTTTAATCAGAAGGGCAAGAAAGTAATTGCACGTTTGAAATTTTTTGCCATAAAGTCCCTTGGGACCTCATATACATTTTATGATTTCATGGGACCTTTCAGTAGTAAATTCTCTTTTGTGGGACTCTACAGTAATTTTCCCAAAGTATATTGTTTGGCTTCAAATCACAGTGAATGATCCGTACTCAAGAATCGTGATGGAGATAAAGAAGACCTCGAGAAATGCCTTCTATAATTTTGACACGCTTTTGCCAATTTAAACATGCCCTCTTGATTGGATCTGCATTAAGTCATGGACAACACATTCCATGATTTAAAGTAATAATCTATTTAAGTTTAATCTGATACTAATATTTTAGAAATTTAACCTCTCCAAATATATATCATTTATCATGATCTAGAAATTAAAACAAAGGAAGACATGGAAGATTAACATTAGCTAACATACCAAAAATGAAGTAATCAAGGCTTTTGTTAGGAAGGAACTCATAAACAAGAAGCCTTTCTTCTTTCTTGAGACAAAAACCAACTAACTTGACTAAATTCCGATGTTGTGGCTTGGCCATTAGCAATACTTCATTCTTAAACTCCACATCACCTTGGCCAGAATTCCTACTCAAGCTTTTTACAGCAATCTCTTGTCCATTATACAACCTACCCACACACACAAAACTAGACCATTGAGTTTGAGCAACGCAATACATGGAGGAACCTAACTTTATTGTTATTTCTTATAAAACATTTTAATCATATACTCCTTCAGTTCTAAATATAAAACCCATTTTATAGTACAATTTATACTATAAAATAGGTCTTATATTTAAAATCGAAATGGTATCTTCAACTAGTATCTTACCAAGTAAACGGCTCCTAATCCACCTTGTCCAAGCTTATTTGCACCAGCAAAATCATTTATTGCCATTCTGATGGTTTCAAAGTCCATTTGCAATGAGTCTGCAGCATCCTTAGCTTCAGCTATATAAACATGGATGGTAGTATAGTAGAGGGAGTTATGATTAATTATTAATAACTATATATCAACTACATATGAAAATACGTTCCTCTAATAACTAATTTGAAAAATGAATAATAATTTTTCGACCTTGAAATTGGACAATAATTATCATTCAATCTTCAAATTCAATATAAAAAAATAAATTATGTATTTTGAATTATTTCTGCAGAATATACATACATTTTTATTTTCTTTCAAAATATATATTTTAATCTAAATTTAAATTTTTGACAAAAATAGCATTAATAAAAAATTGGTGATTTGACTTTTCAATAAAATATAAATAATTAATATATATAATTTAATCAAAGTGTTGGCAGCCGTGTACTTAGTTAAGACGATATATACTTGTATAGAAACATTTTCATATGTTTCATGTTATAATATTATAAACATGAGACGTTGACTTACTTTCCCTTTTATTGGGTCTCCTCATTGGTTTTAAATACTAGTATATTACAACGATGAAGATGAGTAAGGTGAGTCCTGCGGTGAAGGCAACAACCCCGGCAATAACAATCCTTGATGACTTGTTTCCCTTTCCTGCACAAAGCAAAATTTGCACTTATACTTATGACAAGTCGATCCTGATAAGTTATATTCAATAAATTTTCCAAAAGGAAATAAAAGAAAAAAAGAAATAGCTTTGATATATGCCTTTTAAAGGGGTTAAGATATTTTGAAATGTAAGTCCCCGTGAATTATAAGGGGTAACAACCGTGAATTAGGTAACGAACGCCACTGCACAGGCATATTCTCATTCTCGTTGGAAACCTGTTTGAGATACTATTTAGTATTAGTTGTGAACCTTTTTAAAAATGGGAATTCTAATAGTGATTCACTATACTATAAAAGATTAACCTCTTCTGCTAAACTTAATCCTCTTTAATTGAGACAAAATTCTTCTCACACGCTTTTTCTTGTTCATAATATAAGAAGTCTTCTAGAAGAAAATTTTAATCCAAAATATAAGATGTTGACAAAGTAGTTAATAATAGTTTTTCATTTTTACCTCTTATTACATAGAGGGGAGAGTTTTAAATGCAAGAGAAAGAGGGGAGAATTTTCCAATCACGTTCTTTAATAAAGATAAAATAAATAACTTTTATCAATTTAAAACATATTTAATGACTTTCCTAACTTTTTTGTTTTGTGAGAAAACTTAACCAACATTTTATATTATAGACCGGAGGGAGTATGTACGGCCCAAAATTATTTCTCCACAATGAATCCAAGCACAAACTATAGGCAGTAATTTTCAATTTTAGAATTATATTTTCTTGATCTAGTTTAATTTTTTTTTGAAAAAAAGCCCTGATCATATGAGTTTACCTTGTTGGGAGGCGGGATGAGGCAACGGTGACTGCATAAATGGTTGTGCATTATTGTATGTAGAAGCGTCAAAGAAGCTATCAAGTCCAAATCTAATGTAGCAACTGGGTGGGACCACCCGACCACCTCTTTTTCCGTCACAACATTTAGAAATATCAGAGAATGCCCCAGTCAGGAAAATGTCACAATCCTTGTTTGACAAGTTTGGCGTGCACCGTGCAAGACCATATATGGTTTGATTGCCCGGACCACTAGCATTCGCCACCGCAAACTTCCGAAGCGAGTCTCTGGAAGCAGCCCTTTCTGTCAGATAACTCATCATCTGCATCAACACATTCTTGAACTCATCTTTCTCCAAAGCGTCGGAGCTGTCTCACAAATTGTAACCTAGTGATGTTTCCATCACACCAAATATCAATCGGTTTGAGTACTGCAGAAAGCAGATGTCGTACCACCTGATCGCTTCCCTCGCATTAGGTAAACATACTTAGAGAATAATCACCCTCAAATCTTGGATGCAACTGCGGCAATCTTGTACAGTAATGTCTCCTCGGCATAGTCCGATGACGTAAACTTTGTCAGAGTTGTTGCCGGAGGAGAAGTTGTGGAAACCATAGTCGATTTGTGTGTTGAAAGACATGTTTACTAAAAGGTTTCTGAGGTTGGATCGGAAGGAACTATTGCTATCTGCGAGGCCTTCACCACGGAAATGGTTTAAGAAGTCTTACTGGGCGATAGTGCCATGATGAGAAATTAGGGTTAGGTAAAGGAGAAAGAAGAGAAAGGAAACCCTAGGCATGGTTATTGTACGTGTTTTCTCTGTGCGTAGTAAAGGTAGGTTTGAGAATTGTCCAACTGAGGTCTGTAATCTTTTCTTTTCTTTGTATTTAGGTTAGAAGATGGTGCCAAGGGTAATTGGGGATTGAGACAGACGATGCCCAAAACGACTTGTAGTCATCTCTTGAGTTTACATTTTTCAGGGTAAATAATTTATCATACGAAGTGTTACGGGAAAGAGATAGGAAAATGTAGACGCCCCGCTAAATTAGAAAAAGAAGACCATAATGATTTTTCTGGACTTCTAAATTCTTGTTGAAACAAAGAATGCATTGATTTATTTTTTTAAAAAAGAAAACTTTAGTCACAATCGTAAATAGCCCTATACTCACCCTGCTACATTGCCCAATTTGACAGCCTTGTAGGTATGTGTGTGTGTGTATAACTCTCATACAATTTTACTTCTGTTGCGGTGTATGCATATTACTTTGATCCTAAATATAAGTTACTTATAAAAAAAAATTTGGTTCTAAATAAGTTACTTATAGTATATTTAATGCTTGTTTTCTAATTTAATCTTATTTAATTTCTATCAGAAAGAAAAAAAGAAAGAGATATCAAAATGATTTTTAAATAGAGAAAAAAATTGATAAAAATAAAATTTAAAAAACTTTATCAATTTAATATATTTTCTGATGCAAATGTATTTTAGTTATTTAACTATATTTACAAAATACCATATCAGACACCACTTCTTTCTTTATCATTTTTCATCTCTTAAATGCTTGAATTGGGAAATAATAATTTCAAGGCTCTTTTTCTGGAATTTTTTCTCTTGTTTTTAAAGTGTCGCCCAGTTTTTCTTTTAACATCTTTAAAAATTAAAAAAAATCAAATATTACAATTATTTTTATTATTAACACAAATATATATTACATGTATTTTAAAATCATATTTACACTAAAATTAGGCCTCCTATAATATTTCACAAAAAAAATTCCAACAACGTGGTTTGATTATCCATAATTTTTATAGGAGTTAAAATACATCCAACATCTTGAAGTATCTTTTAAGTATAGAAAAATACACCCAACAATCTTAAGTATTTTCTAAGTAGTATTTAGTATATTAAATTAACTTGTGATTTATCCATCACCCCAAAACATTTTTTACTACTTAAACAAGTATTTTCTAAGTAGTATTTAGTATTTAGTATACTAAATTAATCGGTGATTTATTCAATGCCCTAAAACATTTTTCAGTACTTAAAAGATACTTCAAGATGTTGGGTGTATTTTAATCCCTGTAAAAACTATGGACAATCAAAGTAGGTAGTTAGAATTTTTGTGTGAAACATTGTGCGAGGCCTAATTTTAGTTTAAATATGATTTTTAAACACATATACTCCTCTGGTCCTTAATATAAAACCTATTTAACTAATTTGATTAGATTAAAGAAGTTAGGTAAGTTAGTTAATTATAAGAAATATGACTTTATGATTTTTTTTCAAAATATCATAATCATCTTTCTTAATATCATTTTTCTCTCGCTTACTTAATTATGGTTGAGAAAGTATCCATAAGGGTAATTTACAAAAAATTGATAAATATAAAAAATAGATCTTATATTTAGGACCAAAATCAACTCAACAATTAGGTCATATATTAAGGATCAGAGGAGTAATATATACTTGTGTTAATTATAAAAATAATTACAGCCTAAGAAAAAGTATGGCTAATAATGGCCTAAGAAAAAAGGAGAGATGGGGAAATGGAGGCATCACGCGGGGTGGGGAAAAAAATCATTTAAAGTTACCTCTTTCCTACATGAAAAGAAGCCATTCGGCACTGAGCATGAGGTGATCATGCATGGATTCGATGAGCACCTCATGCGGACTCTGTCCTATAGAGAGCCATAGCGACAGAAGATTTTTGGGAAGTCCTGTTGGTTTTGGTGCCATGATAAGAAATTAGGGTGAGCCAAAGAAAAAGAAAGTAAAAGAAAGGAACTAGGCTTAGCCATGGTGATTTTCAAGGTCAAAGTACTGAAAACCAAGTCGATTAATAAACTGATTAAAGACAGTAATTTGAATTACGATGATTTACTCAGGATCAGACCAATCATAATTAAAATAATATTTATAGCAAAAACATTAATCCACAAGTGTATAGAATATTCGTGTATAAACAACGCATGATCCAACAAATGTCATTTCAAGCTTAATAAAATATATAAAATCTAACATGCATGATCGATTTGTCCAAAATTTGATCAGACTCACTAGCCAGATTGGGCAACTTGGGTTAGGTTTTAATATGATGATGATTTCTATGCACCTACTGAAGGGATAGTTAATCATACTCTGAAAACCATTAATCTTATTATTTCAATTGATATGTAAACTTAATTTTGCTTTTGATTTGTTTTGCCATGTCTCGTGTGTATTGCTTACTGTTCTTTTTTCCCCCCCTTTAATCTAGTACCGTTGACTGTCCTTGCTTCGTTTCTTTGAATGATATTTTCCTTTCCATTAAAAAAAAGGGCAGTGGGATATGATGTTTGAGAATTGTCATTTAGCAAAATGATGATTTGTTGGTCAGAAGTAAACTAAAGTGTGGTTGGGGATAATGATAAACTTCCAAACTTAATTAATGCGACTTTTACTAGTCATTTTGAGTTTAGATTCCTTTCGGGTAATTAAATAATTCGTTACTTCCACATTAGTCTATAAGAATAAAAGGGTAGGAAAAAATAGATGCCTCACTGTGAGAAATACGGCACAATATGATGTTTACGCACTTTTAAAGTCTTCTTCACTATTGAAAGAGACGCACAAAGATAGTGCTTCTTGGCCAACCTTTGCATATAGGGGAAACGAAAATGTCATAGAAAAGAAGTCACCAATTATTAATCAATGGGATGACTAAGTCCAAATTACCTAATTGGATGGACTTGTCACTTTTCACTGAGCTTTGACTTATTGCAAAGGTTGTATGTGGTCTTGTTTTCGCCGTACAGAGACCCTGTCTCTTTGGCTTGATATAGAAAGGGTGCCACTAGAATTCTTTTTCATGTCTTAGCTCTTCCGCTTATATGCTCCATCAGTTCAAATCACACGCAATCTCTAAAAGGATTACATTTTGAACACTTCAATGGGTGCCCAAAAAAAATGAGGGAAAGGCCGGGGAGTTCGACAAATTAATTAAATTACTTATAGCGACCTTAATTCAATCATTTCAAGTTTAGTTTTTTATAATATAAATAATTTACTTATATTGTTTTATTTATAAGTTAATTACTTCCAACATGTTTCATCAAAACAGAAATAATAATAACAATAATAAAGGGAAAATTACACTCAGGTACTATAGAAGATAATTAATTCAGAAAAAGTCTCTAAAAATCCCAAAATAATTCCTAAGTCCTAGGAACCTGTGTGTAATAAATTGTAATTGTGAAATTACTTACTTATCCCCATTAATTTTATTGTAGCAATTTATTTATAACCTCAACGGTAGCTGTTGACAACCTGAGAAGAACTGGTTGACAACCTCGGCAGTGCCTCTGACAACTCACTCTGTGGGATGCCAGGGGCATTGCCAAGGTTGTTAACCACTTCTCCTCGAGTTGTCAATAGTCAATGTTGAGGTTATAAATGAATTGTAGTGGGTTCAAATTAATGGGGATAAATAGGTAATTTCACAATTATAATTTATTACACACACGTCCCTGGAGACTTAGGAATCATTTCGGGATTTCCGGGGGCTTTTTCTGAATTAAATATTTTCTATGGGACCTGAGTGTAATTTTCGCAATAATAAAACCTCATTAACTATGCCTTGAAAATAAATGAATGTAGTTTTTTTTTTTTGGCCTGAAAATGAATGTAGTTATAATGAATTACTCCCTCCGTTCCTTATTATAAGAGACATTTGATGCTTATAGCATGTTCCTATATATAAGAGACACTTAAAAGTTGTTTCTACTTTTTTGTGTTGATTTCCTATTTTACCCATATTTATTATCTCCAACTCACACTCTCTCTCCCTCCCACTTCTCTTTCTTTTAATAATTTAATTGTTCTCTCTCATGCTCTCTCCCCTTATTAATGAGGGTATTTTTGGAAAAAAAAATTATACTTTTTACACATTAATTGTTCTTAACTAATTTTAACTGTTTTTTTTATCAATGCATTTCGGTTATTTGTCTCTTATAATAAGGAACGGAGGGAGTAATATTTTATACCCCCTATAGTCCTATTTATAAGTATTAAATTTTAAAAGATATTTATTCTAATTTATAAGTTTCAATTTGGGTTTGTCTCAACATGTAATGTATTTTTTTAGTTTTACATTTAATTATTTATTATCTCTCATTTGTCATACTCTCTCTCATTATCTCTATATATTCTCTCTCATCATTTTTCTCATTTATTATAAGGTTATATTTGAAAACAAAAGTTTATTTCTTATTTATTATTTTTAACTAATTTTAACAAATTTTTGTTATACGTTATTTGAAGTTTGTCATAATGACGGGATAGAGTAAAAAAGTTAAGTTTGAGTATTACTGCCAATATAAAAAATTTAGTAACAACTCATTCTATCATACTAAATAGTAAATACCAAACAGTTCAAGGAAAAATGATAATAATCACAACAATTTCGTTGACTAATTGCCTCATTGCTTTCTTTATCATCTGAAAATTACGCTACCTTGCTTATATTATTTCATTCCCCTGGTCTTCACGTATCATGCATTTTTCCAACATTAATAAGGTAAAAGGACTACACTAATTTCACGGGAAGAAATTATGTTTGGTGGACCAATTACGGGTA